TGAGGTGATGTGAGCATTAAAGAGTATTACACACTCTCATGTAACGTCTGTTTCATAAGTGAGACTCAGAGAAGTATTAAACTTATGACAGTCAGGAAATCCCATCAGGTTTCAGTACAGCTAGAGACGCTCTGACCCATGAAACATGAAGACAATAAACACAGCTCTGATGATATATCTGTGTTTATCATCAAAATCAATGCGAACTCTTGTTTCTTTGTTTTTTTGAAAAAACGGAAAAGGTGTGTTTTTTTTCATATTTCTGTTTTAAACATTGCATCAAAAAAATGAATAAACGCAAGGCACACGGACCATGTGACCAGAGCTGCTGTTAACACCCATCACAGACCTGATCCCAACACGTGTGTGTGTGTGTTTACCTGGAGGAGGACACCAGTCCTGAGGAGGTCCGGGGTACGGAGGAGGAGGAGCCATGTACATGGGAGCGCTGGGATACACACCTACACACACACACAGAGTTACACAGCTCATCCGTTATGCACACATGCGTGTGATTCTTCAGCTCAGCCAGTCTGACTGTACCTGCAGCGGGGGGTTGTGGGTAGGGGCTGTACCCGGCCTGTGGCATGCTGGGATACGGGTACGGGTACGGCTGCGGCATGGCTGGACTGGCGTATCCGTTCATCCCTGCAGCCAATCCGAACGCTCCGTTCTGAGCCGGAGGAGCTCGAGACGCTGCACACACACACACACACACATTTATATATTGAAAATACATTCAAGCATCAAAAGTAAAAGATTGATAGATCATCATCATTTCAGTTTGATCTGCTCCACCCTGCAGCTCAAATACACATGTAATGCCTCAGACACACAGATAAAGAGCTTCATAAAACAGTTTAGCACTGGTTCATGACTATACAACATCACCAGTGATTCAGTGACTCAGTGATTCAGTGACTCAGTGATTCAGTGACTCAGTGACTCAGTGATTGTTTCCTGACCGTTGGTGGCCAGTTTGAAGAGGTGCTGTCCCAGCTCAATGGCTCCTCCGCTGGGGAAAGACATCTTGAAGTTGGCCTGACCTTCCCATCCGCCTGACAGAGAGAGACACAGGTGAGCGTGAGCCGAACACAGCACAATAACGAGAGTGTGCAGCAGGTGCATGCTGGGTAAAGCAGCGTACCTCCCGCCTCGGCTTTGATCAACCCCTGGATGTAGTTTGCAGCAAACACTGGCTGCTCGATGCTGCAGTTCTTCATCAGGTAATACGGGAACATGAGGGAGCAGAACTTCTCTTTCATCGTGCTGCTGACGAACACCATCTGAAACACACACCTGATTAACCTGTCTGTGTGGGATCAGTTAACCCGTGTTTGAGTGGGTTACTGATTAGTTAAGATGTATTTGGGTGGGTTATGGATTAGTTCACACACCCGATCTACTTCCCTCTCTCTCAGTCTTCACTCATGCATGAATGTGGTGTTGATCGTCTCAAGACTCACGTTCTTTCTGAGTGTTTCTGTGCTGCCACGTGTAGAAGTTCAGCAGCTCCTTGCGCTCTTTCTTCTTCTTCTCCTTCTGAAGCGTCCTCTCATTGGCCGTCTCGCTGTGTGGGCGGACCTTCACGCCGCGGCTGCCCTTCGTCACCTTCACCCAACCCTCCTCATCCTCCTGCTGCTGCTCCGCCTCCTTGCTCTGACGCTCCGCCTCCTGGCAGGAAAGATCATGAATAATTAATGAGCTGCAGCTCTGTGAGTGAGTGAGTGAGTGAGTGCGCGCGAGAGAGAGTGTGTGTGTGTCTGTGTGTGTCTATGTGTGTGAGTGTGTCTGTGTGTGTGAGAGAGTGTGTGTGTGTGTGTGTCTATGTGTGTGAGTGTGTGTCTGTGTATGTGTGAGAGTGTGTGTGTGTGAGTGTGTGTGAGTGAGTGTGTGTGTGAGTGAGTGTGTGTGTGTGTGTGTGTGTGTGTGAGTCTCACCTCCTCCTTCTGTGTGTCGTAGTCATTCATGAACTGATCGATGTCCTGCTGTAGTGATGAAGCTTTGATCATTGAGTCTGAGTACTGCTGGATCCACTCTAGACACACACATTATCACCATCATCTTCATCACAGACACACTCTCACACACACACACACACACTCACTGTGGATGCCGGTCCTGACGCGTCTCTCGGCTGTGGAGACGATGAGCGGGTCGTTCTCTGGGTGACGTTTGGCTGCGTTCACACCGGAAGCGTGTTTGAAGACGATGTAGGCCACCCTGAAACACTACACACACACACACACAGACACACACACACTATGACATTTTACTATCAGTGAGTTACTATGATAGTTTTCAGTAATATTTTGAGTTTTCATGTGTACATGTTTTGCGATCAGGTTTCAGTAATGTTGTGTTTTTGTCCCGTTTGTTAGCTCCTGTTGTAGTGTTGAGGCTGTAAAGGCGTCACCTGTCTGTGTTTGTCTGTGAAGTACTTGGACACGGCGCTGTGTTTCTGTGATTCAGACGCTCCTGGTCTCTCCCTCAGCTCCACTGACAGGACGGGGCCGAAGCGGCTGAAGATCTCTGTCAGAACACTCTACAAACACACCATCACATGAGGACACGGGTCACTTCCCAGAGAAATCATGTGTAGTGCGTGTGTGTATAGTGTATAAACAAAGCAGATGTGTGTATAGTGTATATAGAGTGTGTGTATAGTGTATATAGAGTGTGGGTATAGTGTATATAGAGTGTGTGTATAGTGTATATAGTGTGTGTACAGTGTATATAGTGTGTGTATAGTGAATATAGAGTGTGTGTATAGTGTATATAGAGTGTGTGTATAGTGTATATAGAGAGTGTCTGTGTGTGTGTGTGTAGTGTATATAGAGTGTGTGTGTATAGTGCGTGTGTGTATAGTGTATATAGAGTGTGTGTGTGTGTAGTGCGTGTGTGTATAGTGTATATAGAGTGTGGGTATAGTGTATATAGAGTGTGTGTATAGTGTATATAGTGTGTGTACAGTGTATATAGTGTGTGTATAGTGAATATAGACTGTGTGTATAGTGTATATAGAGTGTATAAGTGTATAGAGTGTGTGTGTGTGTGTCGCGTGTGTGTGTAGTGTATATAGAGTGTGTGTGTATAGTGTGTGTATAGTGTATACAGAGTGTGTGTATAGTGTATACAGAGTGTGTGTATAGTGTATACAGAGTGTGTGTATAGTGTATACAGAGTGTGTGTATAGTGTATACAGAGTGTGTGTATAGTGTGTATAGTGTATACAGAGTGTGTATAGTGTATATAGAGTGTGTGTATAGTGTATATAGTGTGTGTACAGTGTATATAGAGTGTGTGTACAGTGTATATAGAGTGTGTGTATAGTGTATATAGTGTGTGTACAGTGTATATAGAGTGTGTGTATAGTGTATATAGTGTGTGTACAGTGTATATAGAGTGTGTGTATAGTGTATATAGAGTGTGTGTAGTGTATATAGAGTGTGTGTGTATAGTGTGTGTATAGTGTATACAGAGTGTGTGTATAGTGTATACAGAGTGTGTGTATAGTGTGTATAGTGTATACAGAGTGTGTATAGTGTATATAGAGTGTGTGTATAGTGTATATAGAGTGTGTGTGTGTGTGTGTGTGTGAGACTGACCTCAGAGCAGTAGGGAGGAACGTTCAGCACGAACAGTGTTCGGTCCAGCGGTCGCTTCGTGTTGGACTCCGATCGAACCCGGTGCTCTTTAACACACAGCTGATGAAGAGCAGCATGAGCGTCATCCTCACTGAACCTCAGCGACAGCACTGCGCACACACACATCACTTCACAGCTCAGAGACACGCCAGAACGCGCATCATTATTATCCTCCGTGATTAACGGATTTCTAAACGTTACTGAAACACAAACAAATGTTAACTTTACCAGTAAAGCCCCCAGGAGTGACGCGCGCGTGTTGATCCGCGGACGGCGCCATCTTCGTTTACACGCGTCACCGGAAACAGAACCGCAATGGCTGCTGGGAACTGTAGTTTCTCTACTAGCCGTATCGCCACAGGAATAATCAGGAATTGAGCGAAATATGAGCATTTTGTTATTAGAAAAGTTTCTAATTCACGTTCTCTATCAAATAAAAGCGAATGTGGCTGATTTTTCAGCATCATTACTCCAGTCTTCAGCGTCACATGATCTTCAGAAATCATTCTAATATGTTGATTTGCTGCTCAAGAAACATTTCTGATTATTATCAATGTTGAAAACAGTTGTGCTGCACAATATTTTTGTGGAAACTGAGATACATTTTATTTTTCAGGATTCACAGATGAATAGAAAGTTCAAAAGAACAGCATTTATTTGAAATAGAGATCTTCTTCTGTTACATTATAAATGTCTTTACTGACACTTTTGATCGATTTAATGCATCAGTTTCAGTTTAACAGTGATCTCAAACCCGTGAATGATAGTGTAAACGTGACCACATCTCAGATAACTCATCCGAACAATAAAGAGAGCAAACACAGCTGATTATAAAGCAAGAGCTTTACTGAAGAGAAGAGAGAACAGTCACAGAAACAGTGTTAAAAGGGAACGGAAACGGGAGCTGGTGATCGTGAGTGTGTGTGGTGCAGCGGGACGATCGCCGTGTGTGTGTGTGTGTGTGCTAGATCTTGATGCGGAAGGCAGTGGCGTGTGCTGCGCTCGTCTCTCCGCCGCTGGAGCCGCTCTGGCTGGAGGACTTGAACAGAGCCTTCAGGATGGTCTGCGGATCCACCTCCGGCCCCGGCGCTTTAGAGCCCGAGCGAGACGCCGAGTCCTTCTGCACCGGAGCAGCGGGAGAGTCGCTCAGCCTCCTGACAGACAGAGAGAGAGAGAGAGAGGTCAGTCACACACCTTCATCAGCACCAGCATCATCACAGGTGGAGGGGTGTCTCACAGGAGGATGGGCTGCTCTGACGTGATCACACTGCCACGCATGTGCAGGTTACACTTCATCGGCTGACCTGAAACACACACACACACACACAGAGATCAGTCCATGCGTCTTTTAAGCAGTGGCGGATCAGAACGCAGCTGTGTGTGTCTCACCGTCCAGGCAGCGGTTGTTGTACTTCCTGTAAGCACTGACTGCATCCTCCTTACGCACAAACACCACCTCAGCCACACCCAACTTCACCAGCCGCGCCCGCTTCAGCGCGCCGCACACACAGAACAGCTCCTGCACACACACACACACACACACAGAGTCAGATGAGCGAGTGTGTGTGTGTGTGTGTGTGTGCTGAGCAGCAGGCCTGAACTCACCACTATATCCTCCTCCGTCACTCGAGGATGAAGGTTGTTGACCGTGATCTTTGTGCCCTCCAGAGGACTGAAGACAGGCTGACTCACACACACACACACACACACACACACACAGAGAGAGAGAGAGAGAGAGCTTTAATTCCCGTTCTTAATAGAGTTGAATTTAAAGGATTTACTGTGGAGTGGAGTGTTCATAATGATCGATAAAGTTTTATTTACCAGTATTTTGAATGATTTGAGATTTCTGTCTCTCTGCTGTGGCCCGCAGTCAAGAGTGATTTCTGTTCAAACGGTTTACTGCTGCTCACGTGACCAGCTAAAGCCCAATCACAGCAGAGACGGTGATCTGTGTGTGTGTGTACCTGTGCAGGTGTGTGTGTGGGGCCGCTGGTCTGTTGCGTGGAGACGGTCGTCCTGGAGACGGGCTGCAGGGTCTGTGTGGGGGGGCGGGCGGGGGGCA